TGAAAAACCCGAAACTGGATAAGGGGCTGGATTGTTACAAAATAAAACACATTTAAAGCGAATGTATGATACACGAAAAAACTTTTGTTTAACGTAGACATTTGAATACAATGTTTTAGACTTTCACTTTTCCTATGTAGTATATACAGTTTAGGAATCTATATTTTATTAAATAGGAGCTACAAGCTCGTTTTCCAAACTGAGATCACTTTTCAAAATTGATAGAATATGCCATTTCCAAACTGAGATCATTTTTATTTCGTTAACCTGAGAAAGGTGGCGTGGGAGAAAAAATACCCCACACTTTTATTTTTTGTTGCAGTTTTTGTGTTCAAATCGGTACATCACCTCTGACACTGGAATGTACTGTCACCCGACGGCCCGTACCGAGTGGATAACTCGCCTGGCGAAGTTGGGAAGAGACTGATTGAGCCAATAAGTGGTACAGGGCGGAACATCACTATGGATAACTGGTTCTGCAGTGTGCCGCTTGCTGAAGAACTTTTGAAGGACTACAAACTGACCATTGTTGGAACTCTCAGAAAAAATAAGACGTAGATACCTCCAGAGTTTTTCCCACGCCACCTTTCCCGGGTTAATTATGAAAAGTGATCTCCATTAAGAATGAGCCTTTAAAAGATATATCTGTAAAAACGTTTTCAACTCTAAAGACTCTTTGGTTATCAAGATATGAGAAAAACAAAAAGTCTTGAAAATAGTGGAACTATTAGAACACTGAAATCATTCATTGCTTCTCAAGCAGGCCACATGGAGACAAATCCCTTTCGGCTTTCCTTACTACTGTAGCCTCTGATCCTTACTCGTGATATAGGCGAGAATGGCGTCTGAGATTTGAGAATGTTCTTTCGTAAGAGAAAACTAGTTTTATATCATATATGTATTGCTGCTGTTGTAGGGAAACTTTATCGGTCTGTGTGTCGTACATTACCAGGATGGAAGAAAGTTAAAAATGAGATATTTGATGATCAATGTGATTTATCGTCTATTGAAATAGATCCATCTTTTAGACATTCCAACTGGAAAAAATATTTAGAAGAGGCACAAGATTTATATACCAATTATAAACTGGAATTATTTGAAATAATGCATGCATACGGTTTTAACGACGAAATTGATATGTTTTGTTGTTGCGAATCAGCACGAGTTAATTCCCATGAACGGTGCGACATTCAAACAACAGTTCAATATCTATTAAAACAATTATTTGAACATACATTGAAAAAATTTAGCAGTTCAGTATTTCAACATAATAATTATTATAACTGCCCAAAATGCGACAGACAAATGGCAAAAGCATCAGCGTGCTATGTAGTTTGTTACAGCACTGCACAGACAATTAAGAATAAATCCGAGCGTATAATGAGTTTCGCTTGGATATTTACAAAATGGTTAATGAAAATTCAGTATCAAGAGACACACCTTAACCAACACAAATCTGATATTGTAGGAATTGCCATGAGACATTACTTTCAGGCTACGTTTGTAAAATACAAATTGCTAACGTGCCCTATTGATCAAGCACCAGACCAAAATAAAACATATATTTTCTTGAAAGAAATCAATTTCGGACATTTAACTGTATTACAACTTCCTAGCATAGCAATTATATTTATTGAAATCATACACAATTGGTTATTACAACAAAACATCTTTGGTAACTCATGTGACGATCGAAATCGCAAACCATTGATACGTCAGTCATGCTGGTATGATATTATGACACGTTTTATTCTATTAGAAGCCGACTACAGGGGTACACTAGTGCCATTAAAATTAAATTTAATATTTGAAGAAAGAAGTAAACAACTATGCGATGATAATTGGTCACAACAAGATTACAGCTTAATTGAAGGTATGTTTTACAAATTATTGAGTGTATGTTTTGATCGTGCTCGTCAATGTAATATCAACACAAATCCAGATTCAATCTAAATGCATACAGCCTATTTGAGCGAGTATCTTTTACTTGCTTTGCAAAGCAGAGCAATTGAGAAGAAGCTCACTGATATTAAATGGAGCTAAAATTATAAATAACCTATTTTTTTAATACCAATTCGGCATTTAACCAAGAAAACTTATACTTGATCTCTAAATATATACCTTCAGAAGATCTCAAAACAGGTCTGCTAAACTCTATATCTCATCATTTATCTATTAGGGAAAAATTGTCTTGGAGTATTGTCGTTTAATTTAACAAACGAAACAGACAAACGACTCCTACTTTACGTTAAACTGACCTATACCTATAAGCAACTGTAAATCTGTTAGGGAATCCGTCAAAATTATGATCACGGAGCAATCGTAGAATGTAAAGAGCTTCTCTTTAATGTTTCTATGAGAGAAAAGATATTAAATGTTTCTTTCCTTCTCCATTTTATTCATTTTTTTTCTATATATTGTTTTTTTATTAATGCTTATACATAATTTTGACGACTTCCCTTAGTGGGACGCTGTTAGTTACTTTAAACGCGTCTCACTTTTGACACTAATACTCTGTTCTAATTTACAAGTGGTTGTATCGCACTACGAAGGACGAATACCCTTCAAAATTTAGAAGATATCTTTTTAAGAATTTCCACAGATTAGGAAGGAAAACATTCCACTTTGTTTCACCGTGCTAGTTTCTAAAATTGCCATAGATATCTGATTATTAATATATAAGTCTTCTGTG